CCATGATATCAATAGATATTGTCAAAGAAAAACTTGGCAATTTTTTCATGTAATTTTGTGCATGATATAAAATATACTATTTTGGTAAAACAATCTATTATCACAAATATAGAATCACACGGTCTTAAGATTGGAAGATTCATAATAAAATCCATAGAAATCAAAGACTGTGCTTGTTTTGGAATAGGTAATGGTTGAAGAAGCCCATAAAGTCAATGTCGAGGAGATTTTGACCTTGAACAAATGTCACACAATTGAACAAAGTCTTTTACAATCTTCCACATTTGTAGCCACCAAAAATCTATAGATATTAGCTCTAGAGTCTTATTGTATCTAAAATGTCATGCTACTGGAAAGTCGTGATGTGCTTGAAGGACACTTAAATGTACTTCTCCTTCTGGCACATATAGGCATCCTTCAAAATAAAGTAGGTTGTTCTTGAATTCAAAGTTAGAAGTATCATGAGACTTAAAAGCAATATTCTTGTTATCATGAATAAAAGGATTAGAGGGCATATTTGATTGAATTTGTTTGAAAAAAGTTGAATAAATAGACAATGTTGATTTCACTAATCAAAGATGAAATTGTTTTGGCTTCAATAAAATTATTTTTTATTGATCAAAAGTTACATCTCTTTCTTTAAGTGCAAGATAAGAATGTTTGGAAAGGGCATCAGACAAACGTTGTTGTTTTATTGAGCGATAAGTGATATTGAATTCAAATCTTGACAAAGGCATGCTCCAATGAGCCTCGCAACGATCAAAAACACAAATTGACATGAAATACTCAAGGTTCTTGTGATCTGTATACACAATGATTAGATTAGAAGTACTTTCTAGATAATGATGCTATTCTTAGAAAGAATTCACAATTGTAAGAAAATCTTTGTCGTGGATCTCATAATTAATCTTGGCTGCTAAAGATTTCTTGGAATGAAAAGCTACTGGGTGAAGTTTATCATCTATTCCCATTTGTGATAATATGGCATCTAAAGCAAAGTTTGATGCATCTATTTTCATAAAAAATGCCTCAGAGAAGTCAACGCAATATAAGATTGGTGTAAAAATAAAGGTTGTTTTTAAAGCTTCAAATGCTGCTTTTGTTTCTTGATTCCATTGAAGTTTAACTTTACAAGTCAAACGTGTGAGTGGAGCTACAATTCAAGAGAAATCTTTAATGAAGATTCAATAATAATTGGCAAATTCCAAAAAACATTGGACATCTCAGATTATTTTTGAAATCTTTCAATCCATAATCCTTTGAACTTTCTTAAGATCCATCATAAGTCCATTATTTGAAATGATGTATCTTAAGAAGTCAACTTGAGTACTATAGAATACACACTTTTTTATCTTGGTATAGAGTCCCGCATCTCTTAATTTTTATGAGATATGACGAATATGAAATTCATATTCTTCTATGTTCTTAAAATAGATCAAGTTGTTATTTAGATAATAGACAACAAAATTGTCAAAGAATTCTAGAAAAAAACATCATTCATAAGATATTGAAAAGCTGCTAGTGCATTTGTAAGTCCAAAAGGTAAGACATTATATTCAAAATATCCGTACTTGGTTTGAAATGCAATTTTCTGTTCATTGCCTTCTTTGATGTATATCAGATTTTATGCTGCTCATAGATCTATTTTTATATAGATCTTAGCTTGATTCAATTGATCAAAAAGTCCAAATATTAAAGATAGTAGGTACTTGTTTTTCATAGTTATCTTGTTGAGTCCTCAATAATCAATATATATTTGCAATGATCTATCTTTTTTCTTCACAAATAGAATTGAAGTTCTTAGTAGAGATTTGGAATGGCAAATGAAGTTCTTGGCTAGATTCTTTTCAACATATTCTTTGAGTTTGGCCAACTTATTTTGTAATAAATTATAAATTGGTCCAAATTATGATTGTACTTCTTTTTCAAGGTCAATTGAATAGTCATAGGAACGATGTCTTGGAAGAGTATCTGCATTCTTTTTCTCAAATACATCTTCAAAATCTTGATATTGGCTTGGAATACCACTTGAAGTCTTTGCCTCATTAGAAATGTCTGTGGCATAAATGACACAAGGTGATCCTTCTTTTGCAACATGCAAGAAAGCTCTTGTACCTACAAACATAGGTTTATTTGTACTAGACTTGTGATTTTTCAGTTGTTTAACTATATTCTTAATTATACTTTAAAAAAAGTCAAGAATACAAGAAATCCTATTTATTCGAGGATTATATTTTTCTAACCATGATAAATCTAAAATGATTGGATTAGAAAGAGATCTAATGATATTAAATACCACAAAGCTATTATAACCATTAGTTATTACTTCTATAGGAAGGATTTTGTGAGTAACATCTCCATAAGACAACGGGTGACCATCTATGACTTCTACATGAAGAAGTTTAGTTTTCCTTACTAAAGATATATTAAGTCTTTTAGCAAATTCTTCATTTAAGAAATATGTTGAGGCTTTTGAATGTAATAAGGCAAAGGCTTTGTAATATATAGGTCCTAAAATAATTTTTAATATAAAACAAGGAGAGGGTTCTGAGGAAAGAATAGGACCTTCATTTGTATAAGGTTTCAACTGTTCAATTCCTGTTGTAGCTAGACAAACTCGTTTTTCAATATATTATCTTCTTTGACATTTGTACTCTTCATTTTATAATTGCGTCACTTCTTTAGACAATGTTGAGTAGTGTGCTTAGTTTTTCTACAATAAAAGCATAATCCTTCTTGACAATGACGAGTCTTTTTCTTGTTCAATAAGAAGTTTGAAATGTACTACATCAATTTGAATATCTTCTACTTCTGAATATATGTATTGAAGAGGTGTTGGTATTGCCATTGAATTATAGTAATATTGAGGCCCAGTTGTTTGACTCTCAAATCAAAATTCAAAAAGTCGATTGTCACACTTTATAGCATAGTCAATTGCTTGACTCAATGTTTGATGATTAAGTAAGTTGAGCATTAATTTTTTTACCTCAAATTGTAATCCATAGAAAAATTGGCTAATAAGTGCAGCATTATTCCATTTCATATCAGTTACAAATTTTTGAAATTATAAAGCATATAATGTTACAAATTGATTGCTTTATTATAAAATACAGATCTTGTTGGTTGCAACATGAATTGGATCATGTTCTCTATACATGGATCGAAACTCCGCTAAAAAAGCCTCCAAATTATCCAATATTGGATCTTGTCGTTCAAGAAATAATGAAAACCATGATAATGCTAAACTTGAAAAAAGTGTACCAATGAATCTAACCTTTGATCTTGGAGTTGGATAGCTTTGAGGTTGAAGTTCAATCACAAGTTGTACTTCATTGATAAATCCTCAAAACTTGGATCTTGTACCATCAAACTTTTTAGACAAGAAAATTCCTGGTTTTCTAGTACATGAAGGATGTTCCACCATACGAGAAGGGACATGATTGGATGTAGATGTTAAAGGAGTTCCAATCATATCTATGTCTTCACTTCTTGCTATTCTTGTTGCTCCTTGTGGTGATAAATTGAGTTGATGCTTCACAAGCGTTAACTCTCTCAATTGCTCTTGCATTTGTGCCATTACATTTTTCATTTCAAGAAGCTTTGCGATGATAATACTTAGAAAATAAATATCTAAAATTGCTCAAGCCAAGTAGAAGACGGGACTTGAGAACAAAGAAGATACTACAAACAATATTAATTTAAAAGAGGGTAATCCACAACTTCTAATACACTTATGTTTGATCAAGAAAAAAGAGTAATCCATTCTTAATGAAGAGAAGACAAAGCTTTAATATTGTAAATATACTCTTGTCAATCTGTCAAGGATATGAACTGGAAGAAGATGCATAAACTTGGAAAATCTGTGTCAAAAGAAAAGTGGCAAAATAGAAATAAAGTAGTATGTATATTAAAAAGAAACTAGAATAGTTATTGCCAAATGACAAAGAAATTAGAGACTCTTAATGTAGACTAAAAGCAAGAAAAGAGTTGATAAGAGTAAAGAGGGCTTCACTCTCACCTCTATATATACTATTTAACTAGGAGCTATGTGGCAATATTCTATAAGACATCCAATGTGTGTTGACTTTGCAGGACATATGCATTAACTTATAAAGTAAGTTTTCTACGTGTGGGCCACATAGTTAGTTTGTTCTTCAAGCTATCAATATGTGTGGCACATGGCCAACTTGTTAACCACGTTGGTAACCTAAAAAGTCAATTAAAGACACCTATAAAGTCAAAGTAGTGTCTATGAAGCTTCTAGAAAGCTATTATAAAAGATATTACGGAATTGACCTACTTTTATCTATTATTATCTAAATCATATAAGTAATTATTTGTTTACATGTGTATGTCACTGATACAAAAGAGAGAAGAGAAACAAAAAATGGAAATACAAAAAGTTTCTATTCAAAGAAAAATATGCCAATTTCAAGCCAAATTAATTAACTTCAATTAACTTTACATATTAGTACTTGATCAACTAATTTCACATATATGTACTAAATTTTAGGATGTACTCAACATGTCTTAGAAAAATATTTCTTATAAAACAATTTGATGTTTATTGATTTGTTGATGTAAGAGAACTTTGGATGCATGAACCAAGTTTCCAATCTAGGTGATATATGTAGCAAGTTCTCTAATAGTGGTTACAAAAAAGAGCCAAAAGCAAAATCAAGGTCAAAGAAATAAGTTCCACTAGATGGAACAACACTTGCTAATACAACAATACTTACAAAGTGAACTAATTTTTGCTTTCTTATGGTTAAGCTTTACAAGCAATTTCTTAAACACAATTAACTAATTTTTTGAATATTTTCCATGACAATGGCCTAAGTTCAAGTAGTTTTATAAAACATTATAAGACTATAAAGTCATTTATATATATATATATATAGCTAATACAACATAAATTTGGAAAATAGTAAAAATAAACTATTCTTCCATAAAGTAAAAAAGACATTATTTATCAAATTTTACACCAAGACGACAATGTGTGACAGTAAAGTTAATCCTACATACCTTAAAAATAGAAAAGTAAAGCATCCGCATGTGCAATAACCCATTGGTAGCATGAATGGTGAACCTCTAGAGGGACATGATCAAAACTTTAAGTGACACCCTGAAGGTGATCACCCACAATTGTATATCGAAAAAAATACCTACAAGGTGGTCACTCTTGAACCCAAGAGTACGATAATTACCTGACTACTACACTACACTGTTGACGAACTTAATGGTGATACGTAAGGAACCGCGATCAGAAGATACCGTGAACATGTTCACTCCATGCAACAAGGATATAGAAATTTGTTGCCTGCATCCTAGCCGCAGTAAACTAATCACAACGTTTGCGTTGATATCAGGATTGTGGACCGGCTCTGCTGCAAACGATCTTGAAGGAAGTGTAAAACACCAAGAAACTGCTCTACAGCACTTTGGTCGACAAACTCCAAAGTCTCATGTACTGGGAGGGACATGACCTTATGGCCCAGTCCTGAGTAATGTTGAGTCCTAACAAACTCTCGCCTGGCTGGGCCCAGCAGAATATTCACACGGTTTTCCACGTGATCCACGCGCAGTATATCTTCCACAGCTGCTACTAACTCCATGTGCCACTTGAAGCCGGATAAATAATCCACCTTGATACTGCTCACTCTTAGTAAACGTGCTTGCGTTAACAACACAAACTCCTCGCCTTGGGCTAGAGGCAAACATAACACAAGAACCTGTTTGAACAATGGAGCATTTAGATTCGATTGAGAAACCAAATAAATGTGGCGATACTGTTAAAAAGACACAGTTGTCAATACCGACACACACGACAAAAAGAAACAAGACTATCGGATATTTTCAATTTTCTCAGAATTGTTAGTATATTTCATGTTGCCGATCATCACTGGCATTAAAAGATTGGTGTGAACAAGGAACATACCTCATTCCGAAAACAACCACCATCTGTCTCCAATAGCACTGCTCTACCCACTGCACTCTCCCAGGAGTACGGGAGCAAAGGGCAATCCTCCCGCAAGTGCCTTGGGAGACGTATGCGTGTCGCCCGCCACTGCTTTGGGCTACTTCGGTTGACAATGCTTTGACCGGTCTTACTAGCCACCTCAAGAATACTCGCAACTGGCCTTGCCACCACTCCCAATGCTCCCACAGCAGCTCCTGTGTGATCAATGAAGGTATTACAGTGAGTTCTACCGTTAGAAAGAAGAAATAAAAGATAACTTGGAAAGCTTAAAATGGTTAAAAACAAGACGAAACATGGACATCTCCGCAGATTTAGAGAGTAGAAACAAACACCTGATAGCATTCCAGGAAGGCCAGCTCTTTCAGCACCTCTAACAGGGGATTGGAGCAGCCCTGTCAAACCCTGCTACCGAAAACCAATTACAGCTTGTCAAAATAAATAAGAGTATATGAGGGTTCATTCTTTCTGAGCTAATACGCATAATCGACAGACCATGTCCAATTTGTTTTATTTCATCGGAAACACTTGGTCCAGATGCCACAATCGTTGACTTGTTCTTGAAGCATTTGCCAACGACTAAAAAAACCTCGCTGAAGTCACTTCAGGCTGTGGGCAGGTAAAAGAGATGGACAGTCATCAACCTAAGTTTATCCAAACTGCCACCAACCACCAACCACCAGATCCGGCCAACTTCATGCGGCTTAAGTGTAGAAACATAACTACGTTACCTTATTTATTGTAAAATTCTAAATTCAGAGCTTAGTTATTGTTCAATGCCCATCCTCTTACTCTAGTTTCAAGTGAATGATATTTTAAATGGTTTCTATCTAAATGGATTTTCAAATTCAGACTCCGTATTCAAAACTGATGCTAGTGGCGTGTCAAATCACTAAATACCGAAATGTAAATTTAGAGAAGCCGACGGTTCACACTGTATATAGAATCATGCTCATACGCACCTCCAAAAACTCATTCACAACACTAAGGTCTTCCCATTCGTGTGAATGTTGGCGTCGTTCCATTTTATCAACGTAATCTTTGTCGAAAGCAAAAGCTGTGACAGTCTGAAGAATGCAGTTGTTAATTTCATCGCTATGTATGGAAATTATGAAGAGTATCAATCCAGAACTTATTTCAAGAAGCCAAGCTGAACTCAGTGCTCATAGCTACAATCATGTTTAACATAAGGATCAGGTAATATGCTGCAAGGTTACCCAACATATTCCCATGCAGAATATACCTTGCGAGCAACTTTGCTCATACGAGTAGCGGCATTGCTGAATGCGAACACTGTGTTGCTAAACAGGCTGTGTGTCCCTTGAACAAGCCCCATAGCTAGCTCCCTAGGACTCTGTAACCACAAGGACAGGAAAACAAGATTCAGTAACCAGAGCGACCGAGCTATGGAACAATTTAGGATTAGGATATTTCAATAAAGAAATCTGAAGTAAGAATGGAAGCCGGGCGTGTCTACGATCCCAATTTGAAACTTACAATCCATAAGCAATAACATTTTAAGCAAGAAAAGAGTGAGTGAATACCTGCTTTAGACTTTTTGCCGGTGTAGATACAAAATCCCACATCCCCGAACCAAGAGTGCGAACAAAATGTATTGGATTCCCCAAAACGTCAGCAGATCCAACCACCTGCACAGGAATACCACGGGACTTCCCTGTTGAACATACAAAATAAATATATATTGTATTATGCAGTTTATTAAGGAATTTTCTGTCTAAGGAATATTTACATATGTAAATCTTAGCAAAAATTTCTAAACTGTATAATGATCATCATATCCTGGCTCAGGTGCTTCAGATCGGCTTGCGAATCCGATCAACTACCTTATAAATTTCTTGCAGAAACTGTCGAGTATAATGTCGAGTGATCATCCCACGAATTGCATCCCAACTTGCTAAAGGGTGTGCCAACGTCAACTGCCGCAGATTCATAACAGCATCTTCTGCATCTGCAATTGCCATCACATGATGCTGTGCAGAGTGAACAGATGAGCATAGTTAGCTATTTGTATATCAAAGACAGAAGAAAATAATGCGAGCCAAAGTATTGAACTGATGCTTTTGTCACTCAGCACCTAAGAGTCACCTTAGTAGGGTACTAGAATTGGATGAAATATCATGTCAGACAAATAAAAAAGCCACTCGACTTATTATCCATTATAGATGACTGGGTTCTTCATGGAATCGAGATATGCATAGTATACAAATCATGAAGTCGAAAGCACTTGAGGAAGAACCTGAAGCATCATGCCAGTCATCCACAGTAGTGACTTGGTTGCCGCTCCAGAATTATTTGACAACCATGGTGTGCTTGAGAAACTAAGAGATCACCCACAATAGGAAACCCACAATACTCAGATCATATTGCAATAAATGAAAAGGCTAAAAGAACGAAACCAATGCTGTATAGATGACACTTAATTGGACCAAACTAACGAGTCAAAACAACCCTAATTTCAACAACTCGAAGCTTTGAAAACAAAGCAAAAACATAGATGAGTTACTTATGTTAATAAAATTCAGGATGGTTAGGTGTACGACAAACCTCACAGTCAGCTCAATGGGGCTGATATGAAGGATTTCTATATAGACCTTGGTTTTTTCCTTAGCAAGTAACGGCAGCTTTTGGAGAGGTCCTCCTATTGGCTCCACTGCCACAGTCGCAGCCCAGCATCGATATTCCTCCAACTGTTTTACCACCTTACTAAACTTCACAACCTTATTTTGATTTGTTGGAACCTGGACGACCTCAAATCTCCACGGTCGACCAGTAAACTGCTCTTGACCATTGAAACGATTCCAGCGTAGTAACGACCACGCTGGCAGCTTTGACGAACCTGCCTTGTCCATTTTAATACCTGAAAAACTTTCTATTGCTTTGTCCACAAAGCTGAGCAAGCTTGAGACAACCTGTTCTTCCACCTCCAATCGCATGGGCACAAGCCTGAAAATGAGAAGCACTGTCACTATACCTCTCCAGCAGTGAACTACGATTCGGTACAAGAGCTACGGTAAAATGACTAATCTGAAATACTATGCTGAAGTACTTTGATCATTATGGGAGGATTATTAAAAAGCGAACCCTCCTCCAAAACAGTGCCAGAAAACACACCATACACAAAAGCATGTTACCCATATCTCAAGGCAGAAGAACCACGATTAGTGATCGAAAAAAGAAAAGTCATAACTAATCAGTTAGTGGAAGGATACGTATGAACTGACCGCAGGCTAATACACTGGAAGCAGTCTACGGCTCCTGCAGGTTGACGCCATTTTGCAACCAGTAAGGTCAAGGAAGGGCCTTCTAAAGGCTTCAATTCCTCTCCAGCCTGAGCATTATTCACAACGTCACCAAGCTTTGCCTGTGGGTAAGTGCTTGATAGCAGGACTGGATAAACAGAAAAAGGGAGCTGATTGTCGATTTGAATCACACATACTTCCAGCTTCAACTGCTGCTGATGTTGACCTTGTATTAGCTGCAAACTCAATCCTTTTGCACACGCAAAAATAACTTCCTGCATTCAGATTATCTCACTGTCTTATGATCCGTACTCTTAACGTAAAAGCATGCTGACCAGAGCCTATTAAGTGTAAACCATGGGGATAATACAATAACTGAAAACAACTCAACCGGATGAACCCATCGAGCAATGAATGGTCCATAAAATATCCCTTGAACTTGGACCATATTATTAGTAGGTACTGGCTAGAAGCATGTCATCATTTTGACTAGTAAATCATTCACTTCGCTCAGTGCGTCATGCATTGCAGTTGGCCTAATTTGACGTCGTAACAAATCAAATACCTGAGGAATTGAGTCTATGAGAGATACTCCTATGTAGGAGAAGTCAAGAATGAGCTCCTTCACAGGTTCTGTGCCTGTGACAGTGGATTCCAAAATGGGGCCAATAAGTCCTGCAAAGGGTTGATTTGATGTGAAAATGCTGCTACTTCCAGAGGGGCTTTTCATCAGGTGCAACGCTGTGTCAACTATGCTTAGAACCTGCACCAGCAATGGAAAGAATATTTATCTCAAATGTGGATCATTGTGCATTGAACATGAAAACATGAGAACTTGATATAGTTTTTGAACTTACTAATGACACCTTCGGACTGTTTCAAATCTTACTCACACAAGGTAAAACAAGTGAAAGATAACGAACAAGAACCACAAATGATAATAGGTACTTTACCCTAATCGGTCCCTCTGCTCGGACTGAGACTGTGAATGTTCGCCCTGGTTTCTGCAGTTCACTCGGATTCATGTGATTCAACTCCATTGTCAATTCTTGACCATACACTTTTACAATTTCTAAATATAATTCCTGAGGTTAAGAAATGCATTTAATAGAGAGTAAAAAATCCAAACTTGCTATACTTTTGTTATTGTCATGAACCATACCTGTGAAGTAGAAGGCAGTGTAACTGGAGGATATTCTTTCACCTCGTCAAGTCCATAGACTCCCAAAAGCCCTCCACCAGGAATCTTATTGAGAGAAGTCATGACAGTAGTAACAAAGCATGAGCACGAAGAGGATGATAAATGATTGATAAGTCAGTTGTGAACATTCCAGGTCATGTGCAGTTCTTCGAGTCTAATACAAAATTTGCTTGTATCAAAATAAAGAGTCTAATATTCAATATCAAGTAATAGAGCCAATAACTGCAAAGCTTATTGCAGGAAAGTCATATTTTCTATCGAGAGTCATGAACTAGAAGCGCGAGAATTAGGTGGTACTTGACCTAACCTAGCTGGCTATAAAAAGAGAAAAGCAGAGAAAACTAGAACTTATGAGCACTATGCGTCCTTTGACTTACCTCAAGGACAAGGCGGTGGGGGTCGCAAGGCTCATCCCATGCATAGCAGAACGAGCTATATGGGTGCAACATGTTCTCCATTCTTTCGCACTTCTGCTGGTGAAAGCGAATTCTCTTCACCAATAAAACCCAAAACAACCCATCAGAAAAAGAATTATGAAGCTACCCTCAAAGAGTATCAATAGAGAAAGCGCCAATAGTTGACAAACCTTGAGCCAATTACCTAGCCACTAGACTTGGTAGCACTTAGCTAGCTGCAAGGTCATGGTGCGGATTGAGGGGTGAATAAGAGTGTTTAGATAGTGCAGTCAGAAATCTACTCACAATCAGTTAATTGCAAGACCAAAAGATAGTAAAATCACCTCCATTGAAAAGTTGTCAATGCGGTAAGGCAAAAATCCCGTTTCATCGTCTGAGAGTGAAATCAGGCAGGTACCTAAACTACCACTCCCTGATCCAACACCCCTAATCGAGCTCGTGTCGGATGAAGTCATGTTGCTGACTTCCACCCTAAGCATCTGAGTAGCACCCGATGTATGATTCCGCACTTTAACCTGTGTATCACCTAACTGTTCTGGGGAGAATCCACCCGACCAGTCCCACCCATGGTCGCTGAAGCGCACTGAAACTAACAAGGGCCTGCAAACGGGTAGCAGTGTCAAAACAAGAAAGAGATTGCTCCAAAAACGATTCAAGAGAATAGGGCGATTAGTCTAATAAAATAAGGTACTCGTCAGGAGGTGCGTTGAGCATATTAGGACCTTGAGAGCCATCATACTCCAGTCCAAACGTCTCTATGTTACTCTTGTATCAAATAGCTCAAACCCCCATGGCAATACATAATGCTCAAGAAGATCGCATAAGGTAACATACCTGGTCACGTCGGTCCAATGCAGATGGCAGTGTTGACCAACAGGGAGCCGCTCGAAAGCATCAGTTCCATGCTGCTTCACACAAAGATCCCTTTTGCACGAATTTGCTAGAAGAAACCTGCAAATGTGAACAAAAAAGTGAATGTTCTCTAACCTTTAACAGAAATTTGCAGATTAAAGAGATGTGGAATTGAGTGAATATGCCATCCTGTGATAAATTTTACCTTGGTCTAAAGGTTACGGTTTTCGTTCTGCCAGCACCGAATCCAAGTAAAGGATTACAAATTACAGAGAACACATATGCACCCTGATTCTCAGGATGAGGAACTTTGACTGTAGTGGTGCCATCGGGAATATCCACAGAGAACGGTCGAGACCATGATTGCTCCATTGTACTGCGGGTTTCCATACTTACAGAACGTACAACTCTTACTTTTAACCTGTGTTCACTGGATTCTGTCCCTTTGACTGGGGAATACATCTGAGGAACTAGTAATCCCCATTTATCAACCAAGTTGACATTATCTGATAACATCAATTCTTTAGACTCTGCAGAGGGTAATGCATTGTTTGATGAAGTATGTAAAGAATAATTTGAGGGACGCTGTGAAAATTTTCGTACAGCACGCTTAGGGAACCATCCGAGGCATATTTCTTCGACTTGATCTTCACAAGTCTGTAAGTTAGCAAGTCCTCGTCGTAAATCTGGCTTCTGCTGCTCCTTAACAATATCCTCTGTCAACATTTTTACAAGATATTTTTGACGCCCAAAAAATACATCATCACCGTCTATCACTGCTAAATCGAAACCACTGCAGTTGTAGAGCCAGAAGGGCACACTAATGCAGATTTCACGAATGCCGGTTATGGTATTGATAATAAATCCCACCTCTGTTGCAACTACAGGATCTGCACGGAAGACTTGATATATTAATTAGCAGCTCAACGTTATTAAAAAAACATTCTGATCTTCACTACCACGCAACCCACGAGTGCACACATTGATTGACGCCTTGCTACCACAAAGGACATTTCGATTATGTAGACAGTATGAGGTAGGTACACACTGTTTCTGCATCAACAATTCAAACTCAAAAAGGGAAATTAAGTTGGTAAACTCGAAAACTGAGAAGCTTACCAGACATGATTTCGGGGAAGAAATTCACATTCTCATATACCCTGATGCGACCCTCCTTGTCTGACCGCCTACTAGATTCTGCAATTGATTGTGCCGCTTGAATGACTATTGAATTACTTGTTACAAATCCACGTACTTGAAAACTGATATTCAAATTGCGCACTGTGTCTACATCATACACAAATTTGGAGTTTCCCTGCATATCCCACAGCTGTAAAGTCTCAAAAGCAGTACTTAAATAATTGAAAAACTTCAGTAGATGTCAACTAGTCCATTCTTCACCAACCGAGATTGGAAGTTCACTTTCAAAGATGTCTAATCTGATGGCTTCTGGCATCCACTTCAATACTTTATCATAGACAATTGGAACACAAATACACTTCTGTTGATGGTATTCTTGTAATATAACCTAAAACACGACGATCCAACAGACACTCTAACGAGGACAAGGGAAGAAATGAAAGAGGTGTAGGGAAACATGCCTCAGACGCTGTGTCGCTAACTACGGTACCCGACCCACTGCCAATGGTAACCGCAACAGGAAATGGAAGGCAATTCTTAACCACAAGTGGAGCCTGTAACGATATGTCCCAAAGCTTGAACACTTTTGGTCTTCTCATTGAAGCTTTTCCAACCTCCAACGGGTCTTGTGTTAGCTCTCCAAAGCTGCCATCCACGGCATCAATATGGGAATGATTAACAGAAAGACAACATCGGAATGGACGACCAGTGCGGCTGTTTGGGTAACAAAGGACGGAGCGGTGAATTCCTTGCGGAGATTCTGCTGATTGAAGCAAGTGCCTCAAAGACAGCACTTCACTCCATACGAAACTGTTTCCCAGCGGTCGCCAACGTATCTTTCCAGTCTGAGCTAAGTGTACAGGAAGAGGCAACACTTGACCTGGTGGTACTGGCTCCATCACCTGGATGCACACCAAGCCGAAAGATTTTAAGAGTACAGAGATTAAGCCAACCAAAAGGAACAATACACAATAAAACACAAAAAGTTAGTTTGATTCCGACCTTAGGCGACAGCGTAAAGGGTATGTCAAATCGAATTTCAAGAGGTACAGTTATCATGTTAACCACTGCTACCTGCCACAAGAAGCCACTTAACGTTAGCTTTTCCAACGAGAAGTATTTTTGTTTTCTAACAAAATAGATCATATATGTTGCTGACATAATACTTAGCCCCTTAGTTCACAAGAGAACTACCCCTCTCAAGACTCGACAGCAAATTAGTCCAAAATGCATGATGACTTACTGTAGAGCAGAGGCGAACCAACTTGCTGTAACGCTGAATAGTAACCTCAAAAACAACGGGAGTGCGAAACACATCACTCTTGTCACGGTTATCTACTTCAAGTTTCTGAAATGAACTTTGTCTTGGAAGATTTCCCGTATTACTATTTACATTAGAATTGTAACCATCCCGAAATTCATTCTCCGAAAAAGATGCTTCGAAAGACCGAGATCCCACAAGGTCGATTGATAACGGTGGTGAGGGACGGGACGTGCCCTCCATCTGCACACAAATCATACGATGCTGCAGCAAAACTTCAAACATTTTCGCAGGCTCTGCCCTCCTGAGAAACCCACTATTCCTTCTTCTGCTTAAGATTTCTTCAATGCTGCCTTGTTGATACAGCGGTACAGATTTTCCAGGTTCGAGAACGGTACCACTTCCGCTACTCCATCCACCGTCAGGGTTATCCATTTCATTCCGATTATTGCGAGATCCCAGAAGCCAATATGTAATTGCCACTCCTGTATCATTTTGTAGCCAATACGGAGCATACAGACTTGAATTACCTAGCCTTGTATCTCTGGCCAAGGAGTCATCTGACCACGCGTCATGGGCCATCTCAGCTGCACGAGAAACAGCCTGCAACGGAGAGTTCAAAAGAGGTCTTAGAACTCCACTTGCTGACGCCCTTTTCGAAGTTTAACAGCATCAGCAGAAAACCCCTAAATGTGCGAAAATCGTGCAAACGTGTTGGGATAATAGTATCCTCCATTCAAGAGATGAAATGCACATTCAGAGGCCCAAAAATTTAAGTGGTTCATTAGAGCCAGGGTAATGAACCATCTTAAAGTTCAGGCTCATAACAAAAAATATATATTTATATAATACACGCTTGACTAAATAGATGTTTCTAATGCAGTTCCTGCAACCAAAGTGGTGCAACTTTTCGACAAATGTCCGACCAATGCACTTCAAATTTAGGCCCTCAACGCTCTGCCAAGCCTGGAAACGCAAGTAAACGAGCAAAACAAACATTTGTATTTCAATAGTTACCTGCACTAGAGACTCAGTTATGTTGATGTTAAGTTTTTCTGACGAAGAAACTTTGACCGTTGTGCGATCCTGAATGGTAGGCGCACCGGTCGCATTTTGTACCGTCAAAACCGAGCTGACGCTCCAGGGCTCTACCAATGGCTCCCATAAAACCTGAATAAGAAAGCTTCGACTGAGGTAGATGTATATTATAACTCTCAAGTGTAACATAGTGTTCCTTCAAATCCACAATGGAAAATGGATAATAGATTCTACAGTTCTGTCATTGTGAAGTGAATCTTAGATTAAGAATACATCCCATATCAACTAGGGTAATTTAAGAATCGGACTGCGATTGCAGAAAGTCTCTTATCTATAAAAGACTGCAGGCATTGTTCACAGAATAATCAAAACACTTTGCACTATGCAGCACTCAAGCCCTGATTACGAACAAGAAATTCAACTCACAAATGATTTATGAAATTGATAACTCGTACGCTATAAGAGAAAAACAACACTAATCAAGCACTCAACTAATGCAGCCATTGACACCTATTATTAAATGATTACAATCTACACAGTACAACGAATACTAAAGAATCATGCTGCGACAAATTCTTTTAACCATAAGAAAGTGGTGAGAATTTTATCGAAAATCAGAAATGAGTAATGAGATGGCAGGCATAATTCCTGATAATTTTAAAGTATATGGCAAAATGATCTACCTTATGCAAATTGTGATAACTGGCTTCTAAATCAGAAGACACCCAGATCTCCAGCTTTTGAGCACAGGAGCTTGCTTCGGCAGTGATCTTTCCCAGCAAAAGCTCCATGATAGGTGCATTGCAACCCCACTGCATGACACATTCCAAATCACAAACTCAGAAATTCAGTATATCATAGTGTATATCTACGATGTGATACAGCATTAGCAATTAATGAAGGCATGACCTAAAACATTGCATACTACATATTTCAAACTAAACTGCAAAAAAAGTACTCAAAACTTACACGACCGTCACTGAGCAAAATCGAAGCATGCTGTAAGCATATTTCAGCCTTGACTTCGACATCCAAACTTGAGGAAGGTCTAGACTCCAACTCCTCAAACGTGAAACCGTGAAAGAAACGCAGAATTGGGTAGGAGCAGAACAAGTTAATGCACTCTGCATTAACTTTGATTTCAAATCTCACAATAGGTGACAGCTGGAAACTACCATCCACAAATACAGATATCTCCGTCGTTTGAAAGCACAGTTCCTGAAAGGGATCTTGGTCCTGAAACGTCTCTACAACATTACCTTCTCCCTCAGTAATACCAGCTGCTAATGTCCAAGTTCCATCCTCATTAAATCGAAACTCGTCCACACGCAGTACAAGGGTGCATGACAATAGCTTCCCTGGAAGAGTTCTCTGTGGCGAAAACGTATGCTCGTCCCCAACAAGGAGTTCAGACTTAAGTGCATTGCTTGAAGAATCTAACACCAGTAAACTTAGCTTAAATGTACCTACTTTGACAAGAACAGCAGCATTCTTGCAATGTTGGCTTTTGCTCATAAGAACGTCAGAACTTGAAGAGGTAACAGATGCTTTTGCATTCGGCGGATGTTGGTTTCGATATGAAGAAGAGTAATCAAGGTCTTCTTGTAGAACAAGGATTTCCATCTTTGACGATGGTTTCCCTGAACCAACAGAGGGGTTCGACAAACTGAAATCATCTGATACCTTCGGAGGCTTGCTTTGATTTAAGTTTGCAGCAAGGATAGGACCAATTTCATTCCAAGCAGCGAAGTGGAGCCATATTTGAGTGGAAGGAAGCGAGATATGAACCTCACAGTCTGACCCTTCTGAATTAACCAAGAGTTTCAGTGCTGGCTGAATGGCCAACTCCTCACCACCTTTGCACTGTATCAACTTTAGCTGAGTGGCATGCTGGAGAAACACAATGCTGAACACTTCCAAGGCTAAAGCTTCCAGCCTACCTCGGTTCAAAAGAAGGTTCACATCAAGAGCATCCACTTGAAGAAGGGCAACCGGTGAAAGTAATTTTTTCACAGGATCAAGTGTTGCGAACGTAATGCCAAGCTTATGTGCACAGAATTTTAAGTTCGTGCTACTTGTACTTGGACTGCTGACATAGAAATGTTTCTTTGGATTCCAACTAGCAAGACCGCCTTGAGTAGTCGTCAATGCCATGGTGTTGGAGGTCCTTTCAATGGCAGAAAGACCTTGGGAGATAAATTCGAAAGCTTCAAGCTGCTGTTCAACGACGTCCCCTGAATAAAATTACACAAGTTTTTAAAATTTTATCAAGGTAACACAAAACATGCATACTCAGGAGTAACGACAAGGGAGCAAAGACCTCCTGAACGATCGATACGACGGAGGCATCATTGTAATATTACATCTTGCGATGACACAGATTGAGAAATACATGAGATATTTATGTTCTGAAAAATCAAATCGTGTATCCAACAATACCAACCATGACTCACCATCTAAGATCAGCTCCAAGACAGATGAATGGATCTCCAAACAAGTTGGAAGATTACTAGGCGATAATTCAATCAGCAGCTCACCATCCCATCTCTCTAAGAAACTCTGTCCATTTGAATTGCCCAAATCCGTGTCAAGTCTGTCATCACCATCGTTATATGTCCGATGCACTCGTACTGAAACGTTCTGCCCGACAATGTAACACGAGGTGGTTGGATTGTGATCATCCACCGCAGTGAAAACAAACTCCCCAAGCACAACTTGAACAAAATCTTCTTTGCCTTGCTCTCGAGGTAAAAAGAGTACAGAATCTTCCACTTCAACCTTCCAATGAATAGTTGAACTCTGATCAATAGTATTGGTATTTGGTTTGATCTGAGATGTCCAATGCGAACTGTCGAAGTATTGAATGATACCAGCCAAATAATCGGCTAATAGCACAACTTGGGCGTTGTGAATTTGCATGACCACATCTAAATTGCCATCCACAGACTTTCTAATCCTGAAATCCCAAGTTGCTACTGGTCCAACGCTCATGCTGCCGACAGGGTTCTGTTTAATATTACCCGAGGCCCAATGAGTACCTTTTACCTGAAGGTCTGAAGAAACGGCCACTATCTCCCACGAAACTTCACCAGATGCAGTTGTACATGGTACTGAAGAACATACAGTTGCATCAGGAAGCAACACAACGCCAACAGTTCCTCCATTGTCCAGAAACTGTATACCACAACTTTCAAGCTGTACATCAATGATCATAGAATCATTGCGTGCAACCTGATTCTGGAACATGTCACTTAATGGCAGGAGTTGACTGGGAAGTTTCTCCAAGACGAAAAGTGGATTGTCTCTCCACTCCGTTTCACAGTTTTTTGCACCTTGAGCATTCGGTTTTGATGGAACTGAACGTTTTGGATGACTAGGAGGGGTAGGAGCAAGAGCGACAGCTTGTACTTGATTGTGAACTGATGAACGAATCGGGAGGCCTGAAAAGACCGAGCAAAGTCCAGTTTCATGGCCATTCCTAAAACATTCACTCGATGAATGGATATCAGGAGGACTACTAGGAGAGGATGCATCACTAATACTCGAGAATGTTCGTGAACTACCAGAGGAAGCATTGGAGCTTGTTGCTGCCACGGCGAAAGCATGCAGAGCTCGAAAAACTTTGGGATTGACATGGAACTCGAGACCATGCAAGGCAGCCATAATTCCCATCTTGGGCACACCCATTGGTCCGCCCATAGCCCATTTCAAACAGACCGCGTACTTCACTTCAGGTGTTTCCGCAGCTTTTGACGAAGCAAAGTTCACATCAACTACCGGAGTAAGAGAGGATGTTGCTCGATGACATTCGGAACAATATAATAAATATCGGAAAGGACTACTTGCAGGCTCAGTTGCATCCTCCACATGCACAGTTTTCATAAGTAGCTGTGCGTCAATATGTGATGACAATTGCGCGAACCTGTTCGAAAACCGACAGAGTGTCAATTAAAGCTTCAAGGAAAGCGGATTGTTTTGTTCAATTGCCAATTCTGAAAGAAATGGTCATCAAAAGCAAATTGTATTGAAATCGTTGGAAGTGAGACGAATTTCATACCCTCGGAGACTTAGAAATGTACGATACAACTGAAGAGACTATTCGAAATTCACATTTTATCTGCAAAGAACTCACTTGATAGACATTTCTTGTCCTTGGCCAACCAAAGTCTTTCCCATCTGTACTAATGCATCATGCCGTTCACTATCCAGGAAAAGCTCCACAGTGACAATTTTCAACGTTAAATTCATCTCCCAGGTGAACAAACTCATTCCTCCAGCAACCTGTAGGAAGGGTACAGGATCCCCTTATTAGATCACGTCGAAATTTGAAACATTTACATTGTGGTGTTTTCTCATAATCTGAGGCAATTTCAAAAGAAAAACAGAGCAACTATGCGATGACTTTACAGATAATTGTAACAGAAAAGCACGTTTGTTGTTCCATAAAAAATTGAGAAAAACAATCTAAAACACCACAAATGCTTACCTGAGGCCTTTCAGATGAACCAGGTTCCATAGAACTTTTCTTATTTTGACTACCGTCAAGAAGCTTGGCCAAGAGGTCATTGACTGCTCTGTATTTTCCCAAGGAAAAATGAAGTCGCAAGGATGGCAAGCTACCGTGTATCTGTTGGAAGAAAATTAAAAAATTAAAAAAAAATAATGAAAAAAGAATCAAGATGAGTTTTAAAATAATATAAAAAAAATAATGAGAATCAGCACAGAAGAACAAAAAAAAAAAAAAAAAAAAAAAAAAAAAAAAAAAAAAAAAAAAAAAAAAAAAAGAGAGAGAGAGAGAGAGACACTATAGCAAAGGTAACATAGATTTTATATAAGAACGCGTATTCGAGACCAGACGACTCAACGTCATCTTTCTAAGTTGTTTACCTTCAAGTGAGGAAGAAGATGATGTTCTTTGATGCAGATGTCGATTGCCACTTGTAAATTGAAGCGTTTTACCAAATGTACCTCCATGTCTGATTCTTGACTGTTCAAAGTTTCGTGCCAATCACCCGATTTTCCAAAAATGAGAATCTGAAATAAGCAAGTTGAATCATAAAATGGAGTAAGGATCAGAATACAGAATTAATAAAAACGATACGACATTCTACATAACCATGAGGTACCCATTTTAAGAATAAAGAAAAGATATGTGTATATGTGCAAGAAGCTGGTTCTGGTGCAAGCTTATTGTCATCATCATGCCGACTGGATCCACTGAATTTAGACTAATGAGAAAAATGAATGCGTCACAAAGTTTCTAGTTTAATGACGATTAAGATGATCTACAAAAGGCAGGTAGATAGTCCAATTGAAACGATCCACGAGATGGTGACACATCAATTACTGTAGTGTCCATCATATTCACTTGTTTTACTTAATCTTTGTAAAACCCAACAACGCATACTTGTCCGGCACGGAACTTCATTATTGGTCTCAAAACCAATCTTCAAAGCAAGAAAATATGTGAAAAATTGTAAGTCGTATTTCAAATAAACCATTAAAAGATTAAAATGCATGACTAGACGCTTTACACAAAGTCTTACCTGTGCACCTGTCAACCTCAGGTGAAACCGTTCATAATGTCCCAACTTGTCAAGAGGAAAGTCTTCACCATCTTGGTTGCGGCCGTTCTGTCCCTGCATTATTAGTAACATCGTTAGTGCTGTTGCTATTAGTATTGTTATGATTTTTATTGAACATTTTTCAAACGTAAGTCCCTAGCATCCAGCAGATCGGCATTCAAGATCGTGATTGCAAAGCGATGCTGACAGAAATACAGACATGATGAAGGCGGGAAACATCATACAGCTCAAAAGACGAGCCTTTGGACAACAATATATCAAAAATCAAAAACCAAAGATCAAAATGGTTGAACTAGAGAATATACCTACTGGGAACAGAGGAACTGTATGTTCAGTATTCATACAAATCGCAATATTCAGGTGGTGATTGAAAAAAATACTTACCTGTGTACTGGAAAATAGACCATGCTTCATTCCAATATGTCTACGAAGACTGGCAGTCCTGGAAAGCCCCTTCGGAAATGTGTCGTTGAAGCCATGATTAAATTCATGTGAGGCAAGGGTGATTGAGTCTACCGCAAGAATCTACAATCCCCACCATTAACGAGCAGGAGAAAGTCATAAGACTCTAAAAGATTATCAAGTTCTACCCAAAAAAAAAGATAAGCGCGTAACAATTACAGAGACGGAATTTCAGGATTGATGCACTGGATGTTCATAAACTCAAGAGTATGACAATTTCCCGATTTATACTTTTGTGATGAATGTATCCAATGGGAAACTATGAAGCATTCCAAGGTTACCACGTTCGTCAAACATGATTCATCACCATAAGCTGAAGAAAATAACCATTTAAGCAGATTGCATTTCAATATGCTAAACAACACATGCAGTGGGAAACTAATTGACTCCTTAGAACAAGTTCTGCTCAGATAAACAATTAAGAGAACATCTCATCTAGAAAAGGCCAGAATTCCCTGTAATAGAAAATAGAAGCAGCAAACAAAGCAATCTACCAAAGACCTACTAAGAAAGTGGGAAAGCAACGAGTAGTCGAGTGATATCCGTGCAAATTAATAATTAAATCTCTAATGGTGTAAAGGGCTAAAAACACATAGGATTGCATGAGTAAAGATGCAAATACCATAAGAATCCCATTTGACGTTAGGTTGTTTTCAGGAAACAAAAAGTTCGGCCTCCTGATGTCTAGAGACAGTCGCAAAGGATTCCTCTCAACTACCTTGTGTCTAGGCACCCAAAAACTTAGTTAGAAAATTTAAATCCACTTGATTCTTTAAGAATGAGTTATGCGAATAACGTCACACATAAATGTAAACCAATTTTTTCAAATGCTGAATCGCTGAGAAATCTATTAACCTTCTCCACCAGCCACTGAACCTAGGATTCACAGAATGGTTAGGTCATTACTTGAAGTTTGTGACTGCCACATCTTCCAATTTCTTCAAAGCGGAATCCACCTGAAAATCAAAAAATACATCGGCCTCTAGGATAAAAACAGCAGTGCAAAGATTTCAATTGGATGCAACCAGACACCATGTATTTGACCTCCATATAGTAGCTGACACGAATGTCAAACAGAATGTGCAACAAAGAAATAGAACAAGGACATCCACTGTTCAAAAATATAGTTGTAGAAATAGTATAAGTATATCTGTCCGATTTAATACATAAGGAAACAAAAACATCATCCAAAAACAGTACTGTAGTATAGAAGGTTCATTGAAATCAAACCTGATCATTGAGAATCTGCTGAGAATCTGGAAAAGAGAAAAATGAAGATGCATGGTTGATGAGTGATGCACTGTACACAAACTCAACAGGCTGCAGTACCACCTGATAGAGCATCCAACATAAATTAGACGGAGAAGCCAATCGCATCTGGCCAAAACAGGTGTCTGACCGCACAAGTCAAGATTAAGTCACAATGATAATTTCAACTGACACAAATGTAAAAAAAATACTCTGGTTTAATCCCGTTGACAGTGCATCCGAAGTTCAAACGCAACCGATATGCACTGAAGCAATCCGGCTGATTATGCAGATATTCATAAAAGATGGAACGTAGTAAGCACATAAAGCATAGTGCAAATGACCTACAGAGACAATAAGGTTACGATCACTCTTTGACTGCAACTCCAACTCCACACGCAGCAGCGGCTCAGACTTTTCTCCGCCTGAACCATCTTCATCAGGAGTTGAATTCCCTTGTAAGGTTGACACGCTACCATCGCTAACACTACGCATCAGCCTACTTCCAGATAGAGCCTCGGCGTAACTACGTTGTGGAGGCTTTCGTTGAGCAGAGCGAGATGTAAGCTTCCCCTGCAAAGAACCCGATGTGTGATTAAATATACCAGCTACAAATAAATCTAAAGAGATGCAAATTAACCACGCAAACCATGCAAGTGTAGCAAAATCCAGTTTTGTGGCTGCTGAATCACCAACATCTAATCATAAATAGTAAGGACGTGATGCAAATAGAGTTTCCTGTCGTTCGATAATTTGAGATTGACCCCAAAATTTTAAAAAATATGCATATCTTCTCACATCCGTTGTCGATGGATTAAGTAAGATTGATAATCACGAACCGCAACTACAGAAAATACTAATAAAATGTCGCACAAAAGACAGTAGAATACCCAAGGAGCCAGAATCCGGGGAAATCGAGTGCCGGGTGTACATAGATCAACAGCCTCAAGAGTGCGGAGCATCAATGACATAGTTGTCTTCTTGGTCCACATCTGTGCGGTCACTGCAATGCCTTGAACTGATATATTCAATATATCTTGACCCAGTTTTCTGTGGAATCATGAAGTTGACAAAAGTAAACTTTGTGAACAGCCTTGAAAGAAAAAGTTGGGACACAAGAGACTGCACTCTACTACCGTACTACCAAAACTATTTTCGTATTTTCAACTTCAGAAATTTGAGTGGGGAACCTAAGATCCAATTAAATATTCAGATCCGTGTTAATAGTCAAACAAGTGGTTATAGGGTACTGATATCAAATAAATTGTTAAACTACTGTCAACGACAGGATATCAATTCAGCAGTCAAGAGATAGACAAAAAAGAATGGATGAGTTTTAAATATCAACTTACGAGCTGTGTAGACTACCCAGAAGTTCTCCAACATGCAACGTAATGGCAAGGTAACAATGGCCCTTAGATGACTCTCCACTCTCCAGCACCGGCATTGGATGAAGTTCAGCAGCTTCGTATAAATCCTGTGACACAAAAATCTTTCTTATAAGCACCTAAAAATCCTTCAAAGGTTCCCCATGTAGATTCTAAGAAACAACTCATAACTTGTTTCATTTACAGAATAGACCAAAATATCTTACTTTGATAATTTCCTGAGGAAATGTCTGGCCCGCATCAGGACGATCAGCCGCACCCAGCAAGCCAAGTGAAAGCCAATTTAGCCAACCCTTTTGCTGAAGCACAGGTTCAGGTGTAAGGAGGTCTTCTGCAGTTGGTCCTTCTGCTCCATCACCGTTTTCATCCTTAAGTATTGCTGCATTTCCAAAGATATCCTGGCGCCACATTTCTTAGAAACAAATTGCGCGAAAAAATGATTGACAGATTATAAGGTCTAACAAAAATTTCATGATGCGAACAATAAATAATAATAAGCATGGACACCTATTCTTACATGACCTAAAATTACACTGCAAAACGTTTCAACCTACCAGGACTGCCTGAAAGAATAACAAAAAGATAATGTATATCATCATTTATATGTGATTCCTGCAAAGGAATGGAATTCCTTACAAATGACCTTGTCCTACCTCAACACAATATCAAAACATGCAATTCCTGTAGAGAAGGTTTACCTCAAAAGGCATCTTCCTCTCAGCTAATGATCTGAAAAATAAAATTTCATCCATTTCAAACTGCATCTCAATCTCCTCCAGCTCTGCAGATTCCACCTCCCCCGAAGGCTACAAACGTAGAAAATGTTTTATACACAATCATTAGACAGCCTGAAACCCACTAATAATAAGCAAGTGTTTTGCTGATTGCTTACTCAAAAATGATACAGTAGTAAAAATACACACACAAGGTGACGATTATCAATATTTTATATTCATCTGTTTCAAGAGAGACGCCTACACCACACTAAAAAACAAAATGCAGGATCATGAACTAGTCATGCATGAAATTTACTGAAAGTAACTCATAAGCTGACGAGAAGTAGATATTTGACAAACCTGTCCACGCTGTAAGTTCATGAGCTTGTCTATGTACAGATCCACATACCGTTCCCGATACTCCCTGAGGTAATCAATACACCATATTCAGCTTCAAATGCACATTGCAAGTCATGAGTACTCATCTCAGATTTGATAAAAAGTTTAATAAACCAAGGTCTTTTCAGAAGCGTAGGCCTCTTCAGCATAACTGTAAAGTTAAATATTGTTTTGAACTTACTTTAACCTATGACCTGATCACACTTTGTCGAGGTTAAGGATACAACTAATTGGATTAGTATCCAGAGGATACATGTAACGCAGAAACTTACCTCCGCCAGCCAAGGTAACCAAGAGAGCGTCGCCAGAGTTTTTTACGAACATCGGACAATACTGCATCAATAGCATACTGCCATAAATGCTTTTTCCATTCTGTACTAGGTCCACCTTGCCCATCGTTTGCTTGTGATCGAAACCTTCCATACCTGTTCATCGAAGAAAAAACATGCTCATGCATCTTTCAAAACCTGTCTATGTTGAGTATTTAACCCTCAAAATTGGTAAGGTATTAGTTCGTTTCTAACTTACTACTAAACGTTTCGGTTGAACTCATCCGATACCCAAAATCTTAGCAATGGAAAACTTAGCAAATTGAAAGACCATAAATTGAATGAACTATTTACAAGAACTACCCCAAAACTATCAATATACTTGAGAATATTACCTCTAAACAACACAATCTCCACTAAAACAAAAAGCCCTATGAAAGAGTTTCACCATTCTTACTTTTCTCTTGCCCTTGCGATTGAGACCGCATCTAACAGCAGAAGCATTCCCCGAAGCTGCAGGTCTTCCAAAGCGAGTGACTGCAACCACAATTACCAAATCCAACTCCAGCTTCAAATACTGAGAAAAAGTAAGAAATTGTTACTCAGTTGTTAAACGCTACTGAACGCAGCAACAAATATAAACATTAAGAAAATAACAAAATTTAACAGGATGTAAATGATAAAAATAAGAAGTAAAAAGATTTGGTTTATCGTAACTATTTCTTAACCAAAAAAAAACTACCCTAAACTCGAATACTCTTGAGATTATTGCTAGATTCAAAGAGGTAAAATGATAGTTTTGCATAGAATTAATCATTTCATAAGAGCTATTACAGCCAAACGAAGATAGCATGATAATTCAGAAACGGCGCAGCAATAGAAGGATATTATCTAATTACGAATGAAGATGCTCAAATACCAGATCCAAGACAGTTTAACATTTCAAACAGCTTTGATGACTAAAGCATAAAGCACGTGCATTGGTGACAATACTATCTACGACAAGAACTTTCCAGGGTCAAACACATAAGGGATGAACACATTAAGAATGTTGCATGCAAAAATAACCAGAATCTCAGATTCTGAATGAAAGCTCTCACCAAATCATCAACGTTAATGACAACAGCGTATTGTGCAGCACCTTCCTCCCCCATGTTATTTCTATTCAGCTGTCCAATAGATGCTTGTAGTCAGAATACATCATCAACATAGATACTGATACAACCAAGTTAATGAAAAAAGTGATGTGTAGTTAGCATTCACCCTTAGATTACTATGTTTCCGCCCAATCAAGAAATGATGTTCAGTGTAATTGGAATTTTTCATTTAACGATTTTAAGCAATTAAGTCAAGCCTGGACAATGTCGAACAATGAGTAAACATAGCTGTTGCCCTTTGTTGCCCTTTACCAAGTTCTTATCCTTTGCCTCCAAGGTTCCAAGAAGATATCCAGTTCATTCTCAAATTTACTTGAGCTTCATTCATAGAAAAAGAGATCGTGGCAAGTTCGCAATTGCGGACACGACTATGACCACGAAGGCCAACGGCTTAGAGGTATACCACCAAGAATTTAATGAGGTTGATTTTGCAGAAATCTATTGTCTTGAAAAAGGGATACACAGGAATAACTCGAAACCTAACAAAGTGATAAGATTGGAACGAAATTAAAGTGTCACTAAACAAAGAGTATACCAGAAGCTTCAAGGTCAAATCAGTCGGACGCAATAAGTAGACTTTGTCAGGAGTATCGTCCTTCGTTCTTGAAAAACTAATGATCTGTTTTTCGGCCGCTTCCGCAGAGGCACTCAAGGGATGACTCCGTAGGTTCCAATACATTGCGAGCTGCTTTACCTCCACTACTTTGTGCTCTTGACCACCCCTTTCTTTCCCACTTCCCGCAGATCTAAAAATGTCCAGTCAGGATAACAAGAGAAGAATTATTAGTTTTCAATTAGATTTCTATGTTGCGCCATGAAAATGTACGACATCGGGATACAACATGACATTTTTTCAGGCCTCTGCAACATACCCAGAGAAGGATCCATCACTGGTGCTGACCGTTAGTGCTGATAATGTTACACCGACCAGAAACGTCACCTGCATCCACCCATAACAACATAACACAAAGTTGAAACTTGTATCACATAATTAGAAACGTATCATACGACAAAACTAGGGTAAGTAGGAACTACAAACTAACTCCAATGAAATTCTCAATCATGACTTTAAGGGATCTTAGAACGTGATAGCTCAAGAAAACGTATATACCATGATTGGATCATAGATTAATACCTCTGGATCAGTTGTCTTGTCCATGTATTGGATGTGCACATTTTTCACAACCACTTGAATGTTATCTACAATCTGTTTAGCAACATCCACAAGCATTAGATTTGTACATATTGGACTTTATATACACCTAAGATTCAAAAATATGAAAGTACTCAAATAAAAACAGAGAGTGAAAGGACATCACACCTTTCCGAAGAAATTGGACAAGAAAGACTGTCCTGATTTTGACTCTGCGATGTCAAAAAGAAATTAGAGACAGCTCATCCCCTCTCGAGCGAATGCAGCTGACATGTCAAGGCAAGAGACTGCAACGGTGATACAGACTCCAATCAGGTGAAAATCGTACCAGAAACACATTTTGAGAATTTCGCAATTTCAGCAGATGCCAAAGCAGCTTTCTTCGCCGCTAATTCTCTCCTTTCAGATGCTTCTGCGTCCCACTGAAACCAAAACACGCTGTGATCTTCATCAGAATCCAAAGCCAACGAAGACTCAAATGTCTTATGATGTAGCAACACATTAATGTCGTCGTAAACCACAAAAAGCTAGGAAAACTGGAAAAGACGGGCTGTCGAGACAGAAACATACGTGTGATGTAACTAAGAGGTGATTATGTGAGGAGTTATTATGAGAGAATTTGATTCGAAAACCTAAAATACATTTACCAATGTCGTAAATTTACAGTAGAGCCCTTCAAAACATACCTCTCCATCATCCTGAGGACCAGCACAAATAGTAACATCTTCAAGAGAGATCAGAATAGGTTCCCATCCTAACTTTTTCCATGGAACGCAAATCCTGAGTTTCCCGATTGAAGCTGTAAAACAAAAAAGTAAGAGAAGTTGGTAAGACACTCCAAGATCACAAGCAAACAATGTTTTTATTAAAGCAACAGGAAGCCTTTTCTCAAATAAAATCTCGCCCACCAACAACAAGGAGGATTGCAAAAGGATTGATTCAGAGTGTAAAGCCCATTCACATGCCTTGCTTAATGCTCAAAGGAAGCTGTAATGAGTCAAACGCTTCCAGTCGCAAATCCACATTTTCCAGAAGAACCTCTCCTGCATGCATATCACAAAGGTGAGCTTTACTCCAATGACTTTCCTTCGCATTTGCGTTTCCTACTTTCTCCCGTACGAGTGAACATTTGAAATCAATACTGACTCACAACCTATTCTAAACACTCAAAGAACCTCTGATATTAGGACCGACGCCGTTCAGGAAATTCTTAAATGCTACAACGATTTCCTCACCACGCGGACACAGCATCCCATTCAACAACTGCCTAGGCCTGAGTTCAAGTGCAAATCAAGGAAGACAGGTGGGAAGATGACAACATGTTAATCATGTCGCGCACAAACTTAATCATGTTCTCTCCAGAAAAAGAGAAAACAAGGCTCATCTTTAAATCATATCTATTGATTATCCTCCTTCAGCTTCAAATGCTGTATTACAGAACTGCACTGGAGCACGAATAACAACGCCAGAACAAACATATATACAACACACAAACAAACACACACACACACTATCATAATGAGTAAGACCTCCGTCTCATCGCTAGCATAAAAGCCTACTTGCAATGAATTAAACGAAATAAGTATAAGATTTATCTTGTAAAATAAAGCAATTTGATTCCAACACTGCAAGAGCCAAAATTGAAGAAACAAAATAAGCTGCAGACTCCAGAACGTAAACTACGTCCCTCCACTCTCCATCACCATGAAACTTGAAGTCCGAAAATGAAGCCTACATTCTGTAACCCAAGCTCTCCAAATCTTCGCTTGATGCAAAGAGATTTTCCAGCCATACGATTTTATACAAAATCATACCGATACTTTGCATCATCGACAATCAACAAAAAAATGCACTCTTCCGGCAAGCCATAGTAAGGCATAAACCTCTCAGCTTCTAGAAACCCGCTGTGTACAAGTAAGAGTCTGAAAGGGAATGGATGAAATGCTTACCACTCCAAAGGCCTATCCGAAATTGCTCACGCTGCATGTCTTTAACATAGTAACCAAGGTAGCTAGCCAGCACCTGGTACACTACACTCCCCAGCATGACAGGCAGTCTTTGTGACCCGCCTTAAATGGCATCTGCTTCCTTTCCCTACTCACCTAGGTTGCGATCATCACATTCTACTTCTCCTCACTAAAGTTGTTATTTCTCATCAAAAACCATTAAACACAATATTCTAAAAAGTAAAAATGAAGAAGGATAATGTTCTCCCCCTCTTCTTCTTTTTCTTCTTCTTCGTCCTCCTCTACCCTGATCTTCCCTTGTCTCCTCACACCCTTAAAAATAATGCAACAACCTCTTGACCTCCCGGATACTCTGCTCACTTTAGGGTCCATACAGAAAAAATACTTCCAATTCAGCAGAACTATCGACAATTCTGCCTTCTAAAACCCCCGAAAAAAACATAATATCTTTCTTCTGGTCTCTTCCGTCACGAAAAGCTTGCAGCATCTAGCAACACGTTTTGGAGAACACAGACTGGTCACAACACTAAGTTCTACAATCGCAACTCTCCCTGCCCTCCACGAAATTTCTCATGAAAGAATTGAGATTGATCGCAAATGATGCACGGTCATTCACCTTCAAGCCTCCACAAATCTAAACCCTAAAATATAACCAATTTCATGTACCCCTGGTCCGAGGAGGCAGTGATTGTCGCGGACAAAAATTGGAAATGACAACGATCGAGACTGCGATAACCTCAGAACGAACGAGACAAAAGGGGAAAATTAGGCAACAGAAGAGAGAGAATCGAAATTAAAATAATGAGGGAAAGGAAAAGGAAGAGGAAAGGAAGACGTGGCGAGGGAGCAGGAAAGAGTTGGAAATGAGATGAGAAATGACGGTCGGGAATGTGGGATAGCAAAAGAAGAGGAGGAACGCGCGAGAGTGGAGCGCCTCCTCAACGTTCGCCGCAAGCTTCCTCTTCTTCCGCTTCCTCTTCATCGACACTCTCCTTCCATGATGTTCTCTGCCCCGTCCTGTCCGTCGGATACCCGCTTGCCATTCGGATGGACCTCGGCGGCCCCACATACCCGCCATGGAGGGGAAAGAAAAAGCAGAAGCAGGGGGTGTGGAGCATAAAAGCATTGATTGACGCCTCAGATCTCCACGTGCACGATGGAGCTCCAACTCATAAAATTAATTAATAATTGTGGATAGAGAGAGTCCTGCTCCTGCTCCTGCTCCACCCTTCTGCGCACCCCTCTCTCCCTGCACCTTCGCATTCCCCCGCCTGCCTACCTGCCTGCTTGCTCCTCCACTGCTCCCAAATTCTCCATCGCCTTTGCTCTTCTTTCTCAACTTGCTTGTGTTGTGTGCCTCCTCTTCCTCCTCCGCTGTATAGACTTCAGCTTCTGCCCTTGCTCTTCAGTTTAAATGCCATGGACATTTCTCTATCGCTGCTTTACCACAATCCCATCACCTTGGTGCTTTCCCAGCCTCTCTGCAACACCATCCTGCCTTACAATGACTGATCTTTTACTCCTCACATTTCTTGATATACATTCTAGTTAAACACATACTCTAACTTATGACCTTGCATAATACACGTAAATGTAGTGCATTAATCTATAGTTTCCAATTCAATCCATATCTTATAGCTCATATTATTTAAAAACTTGCTCTTGCCACAAATTTTAGTCTTCAATAAGAAATTTACATTTCTTGCTACATAGACAACATTATTACTGCCAAGCATCAACCCTTTTATTTGCACCTAATCTAACTTTATAAATAATTATACTATAAAAAAAATTAAGAATAGTTTCTATACCATGTTTGTGTGAAATCTTTGACCCAATTATATTTTAATTAAAAAAATTCACACAAAACCATTCTAAACATAAGCTTCAAGAAATAGACCATAAATTCTTTAAAATAAATAAACCCAATCAAAACAACCACCTTAAGATACTAATGAAACTTATTTCACAAAATATATATATATATATATATATATATATTGTTTTGTATTTGTACACTTATCGGTTTGTACATTAAAAAATAAAATATTTTCTAACTATATATTAGTATATTTTATTTTAAAAATATATTTTTTAAAAAATATTAATATTTTTTGAAATTATAAGAATGTGATTGTAAAGAAGATACTAAAAAAATGGCTTAAACAACCTCTATTTTATATCATTTAACATCCTATATAACTACATGTCTTATTCAATAACTTTATAAATTTCTCATTGGTTTCTAGTCTTCAAAATTCTACTCTAAAATTATATATATATATATATATATATATATATATATATATAGTTATTTTACTTAAATACATTGAAGTATTATGTTGACATTGAAAAATCTTCAAATATTATTTAACTTCACAACAACAGCTCAATAAAATGAATCAATAACAAACCTTATATATATATATATATATATATATATATATATATGTGTGTGTATAAATCTTTGATTTGAGGTGTGATAATTTTTTATATCCTGGTATTTTTAATGCTGAAATATAAAAAATATTTACTTTCCATTAAATTCCAATCATAAAATTCTAATTTAATAATTTTTATTTATTCAATTGATTTTAAGTAATTTTATTGTTAAATTTGTATGTGAAGCACAAAGAGACTGAGTATAGCATTCTAATGGTGTATAATATTTTAATTTTTTTAATATGTACTTTTTCAAAGACCTATAGAATACATGATAAATCATATTCGTGTAGGTTATTATTGAAGAAAAAGTAATAGTAGAATAAGTTACCTTATAGAGGATATTACCTTAGATAAGTTGCTAGTGGTCAAAGAGTTGACTCTTGGTGTACAGAAAGGACATCCTATGGATATATGACAAGGTCAAGAACCAAGAGTCAAAGTCAAGAGGATAAAGTATGAATTAGGGAATATCCAAAGACTAGGTAAGAGTAATTAGTATTTGGCATAAGATACCTTTGTAGTTAGTAAGATGCCAAAGGATCCAAGGTCCATAGGATATCCTTGAGGTACGTTAGATATCAAAGGATCTTAGGACCTAGGATCATGTGTGTAAAAGACAAAGAATGGAAGTTGTCTTATAGGGTAGCAACGACAACCTATAAGTATTGGGTGTTGGAAGTAAGAAACATCTTACTTCATACTCTCTTTGTCTGCAACTTTGCTGATGTTATGTGTTGTGACTTCAAAGTTCTATTTCTTCAATAGGTTATAGGCCCACTCACCTTTACTTGTGAGTTTTGAAGTTCTTTGAATTTTTTTATTTTTTTATTTTTTTTATTATGAGGAATAGATCTTGTGGTTGTTGCTGATGTTAGAGTTTGGTATCTTCTAAATCTTCTTTTTTGCATCTAGTTGTTGATGTAGTTATGTTCTTACTTGTTGTTAAGTGCATTCATGGTCTTCAAGATTGTTATACACTTTAAAATGTTGTTTTAGAATACTAGTGGTGTGTTTCTTTGTTGACCTACCTTATTGATACACTAACATTGAACTTTCATATGCTTAAGTTCCTAATAGATCTTCTTATAGTCAAAAGAGGTGTTATGAGACATTAGAGGTGATAAAAGAGTGGCAAAGCTTGTAAGAGAAGTTTTGATAGTGTGTAAGACTTATGAAAAGTCTTATAAGTAAAGTTGAGAGTGATCAAAGAGTAAAATCACTAGTTTACTCACAAAGAGGGCATTTTGGGATTTTAAGGCAACAATACCTTCTTGTTGATTTTTAGAATTCTATCTTCTCTTTTTTTGATTTTCTTTGATACACCCCTTCTTTATACAATGCTTCAAGTGAGGGTGAGGATTTGAGAGTGATTGAGAAGTTTAGAGGTGACAACTCCTACCATTGAAAGAAAAAAATGGAGCTTTTGTTGGCTTCATTAGACTTTTGGAATATTGTTGATGAGAGTGAAGAGCCTCCTAGTGATGATGTTGATGTAAAGGTGAAGAAAGAGTATAAACAATGTGAAAGGAAGGCTTTTGACATAATTGCAACAAATCTTGATGATGCCAAATTTTCACATGTAATTGCTTGCAATGAAAGACTTTTTGCAACATCCATCAGATCTACTCCTCATAACATCAAAAAAAAACATAAAGAATTACTATATTTATAAAAAATCAAGTCATTTTGCTAGAAATTGCTACAAGGTCAAGAGAGGAGATAGGAAAAATACAAATAATTCTAGTAATAGTTTTAATAGAGATGATTATGCTTTTATGGCAAGTGAAGGAGCCTCCATAGCTACCATATCTAAGTGGATTATAGATTCAGGTGCCACTAAGCACATGACACTACGCAAGTGTTCATTTGACACTTATGAAGCAATTCCAGCAACAAAAGTATGGTTGGGAGATAATAGCATGGTACAAGCCATTGGAATTGGCTCCATTGTGGTGGAGGTTGTGGTGAAGGACCAAATGAAGAAGATTAGATTGAAAGAAGTCTTACATATGCCTAAGATGAAGAAGAACCTTTTTTTGGTGAGCGAACTTATATCACATGGTTATAAAGTTCAATTTGACATGGATGGAAGTTTTGTGAAGACATTGAGTAGACATCATGTTGCCAAAGACCTTAGAGATGGCAACTTCTATTTCATCAATATTAAAAAGGTGAATGGAGTTGAAGTGGCGACATATGTTGATTTTTTACAAAATCAAGACAAGTTTGGCATTTGGCATCAACAACTTGGTCATTTGAATGCCAAAAGCATGAAGGAGCTCCAATCCATAGTAAGTTACTTGGATCTTGGTTAATTCAGCCAGAATGCTATGACACTTGCTTGTGAAGGTTGCATCCAAGGTAAACAACAAAAGGCTTTATTTCGAAGTGGAATTGCAATACGTGCAAGCAAATTGTTACAAATGGTTCATTTAGATGTTTGTGGACCAATGAAGACACCATCAATTAGAGGAGCAAGATACTTTATGACATTTATTGATGGTTTTTCAAGAAAGGTGTGGATATACATCATAAAAGCCATGATTGAGTATTTCTCAAGGTTTAAAGAATTGAAGGCACTTGTGGAGAAGCAATGTGAGTACAAGATGAAAGTATTGTGCACGGACAATGGAGGTAGGTACATGTCAAAGCATTTTGATGAATTTTTAAAAAATTAAGGCATTGCAAGACAAATCTCTAATCCTTACACTCTACAATTAAATGAGATTTTTGAAAGAGCAAATCACACCATTGTGAAGATGGAAAGGAGTATGCTTCATGTATAAAACCTTGGGCATGAATATTGGATAGAAGCTATGGTCAATATAATATATACAAGGAATAGATATCCAACAAGTACACTCACATCAATGACTCCACAAGAAGCTTGGAGTGGCAAAAAACCTTGTGTTTTACACATGATGATCTTTGAATGCATTGCTTATGCAAAGAAACCAAATTGCATGAGGTCTAAACTTAATGCAAAAGAAACAAAATGTATACTTATTGGATATTGTGAAGGTACCAAAGTATATAGGCTCATGTGTTTAGAAACTAAGAAAATCATTAAAAGTCATGATGTAGAGTTTTTGGAGCACAAGAGCGCCTGTGAGCACTTCGAGATGTGTCCAAGTGTGAGTAATGGTGTCTTTGTAGACACATCTTTAAATCCAGTAATGAAAGAAGAAGAAGAAGATGATGATAGTGAAGATGATGGAATTTCAAATCAAAATGAAGAATCAAAGAAGGTAAATCATGAGGTGCCTAGAATTGCTAAAACCACCAATGAAGAAAATCAAGATGTTGAAGATGATGATGGTGATGAAGAGTACCAACCTTTAAGTGTGAAGAGACAAGTTTTAAGAGAAAAGAAAATTAGAAGAATTATTGGAATACATGAAGGTGAATCTTCATCAAGTGAAAGGAGATATCCTTTAAGAGATCAAAAACAACTTGGTACGTGGCGGAAGAACCACATCTTTTATCAAGTAAGTCAAAAACATGCTAATGTTGC